TTAACTCTTCCCCCACAGGTTTGGGATGATGGTGCAGTCCTCACCCCTGACCCGCCCCATGAGAATGGTACAGTCCTCATGCCCCCCATGTCTGGGACAGAGTGGTATAGTCTTCTCCCACCTAGGTCAGAGATGGCGAGACAGTCCTCACCAACGCTCAGGACAAGGTGGCAGAGTCTTCACACCCCCAAGGTTTGGGACAGGGTGGTATAGTCTCCAACCCCCTCAGGACATAAGAGTGCAGTCACCCCTCCCCCCCCCAAAAAAAAACAGGGTGGCAGTCATAATCTCAGATCTGCAGGAATTAGATCATCTTATCGGCCCCACCCTAGGGCAGGGTGGTACATTCCCACCCCTCAGGTGTGAAACCTTAAAATCCTTGCCCCCCACCTCCATCTGTGACAGGTGGTACAGTCCTTCCCCTCCCCACCCAAAACAGGGTGGTACAGTCCTCTCCTCCCAACCAAGTTCCAGAACAAAGTGGTACAGCCCCATCCCCACCCCCAATCCCTCAACTCTAGGACATTATGGTAGAATCCTGCCCTGCAACCACAGGGTGCTACATTTCTTACCCCACTCCCTTACAGTTTGGTGTAACCTCACTTACACCCCCTCCCCTACAAGGTGGGCTGGTTGGTGCAGTTCCTGTAACCCTTGCCATGTGGTACAACCCATGCCCCTCTACTGTGATTTGGTACAGTCTACTGCTAATCATATTCTTAATCTCCACCCCACCCCCCCCACCAAGTAGGGGGAAGTGGTACAACCCATGCACCTCCCCTCTTTGCAACTCAGGAGGCAACCCTACCAAGGGCTAAAAGGTAGGGGAATGACCCCACCCCCAGCCTCATACCCGGGGCGCGGTGGCTGCCCGCTGGCGGGTGGGGCGGTCTCGCAGGGTCTCCGGGTGATGCTCTGGCTCCTGTGGGGCAGGGGAGAGGGTAAGAACCCCTGCTCCAGAACAAGCCCCACCTCCTCCTTCCCATGCTCCGCCCCCAGCCTGAGACCTCACCCCCTCCCCCAGTGAGTGAGGCCTCATCTCTTTTGCTCCCCACCCCGCCAACCAGGCATGACCTGGCACAGCCAAGCCCCGCCCACAGCCACTTAGGCCCCACCCACCACACCACAGGCCCCACACCCAGGCTAGAAATCCCAGTAGGGGGAAGTGGTACAATCCATGCACCTTCCCCCCTTTGCAACTCAGGAGGGAACTGTACCAAGGCCTAAAAGGTAGGGGAATGACCCCATCTTATGACCCCACCCCCAGCCTCATACCCGGGGCGCGGTGGCTGCCCGCTGGCGGGTGGGGCGGTCTCGCAGGGTCTCCGGGTGATGCTCCGGCTCCTGTGGGGCAGGGGAGAGGGTAAGAACCCCTGCTCCAGAACAAGCCCTGCCCACTGCCTCAGAAGCCCCACCTCCTCCTTCCCATGCCCTGCGCCCAGCCTGAGACCTCACCCCCTCCCCCAGTGAGTGAGGCCTCATCTCTTTTGCTCCCCACCCCGCCAACCAGGCATGACCTGGCACAGCCAACCCCTCCCACAGCCGGCTCGAAGTCCCACCACCTTCCAAGACTCAGGCGCCACCATCATGAAGCCATGCTCACGCCCTGCCCCTTCTTGGATTCAGGCTCCACCCATGTCAGGAGACCATACAAATGAGCCAAGCTCCACCCCTTCCAGGATTCAGGCTCCACACCCCCAATTTAGACCATGCCCCTTTATGCCCTGCCCCAGCAGGCCCGAGTCACACCTTGCTTTGGCTGGCCTCTCTCCCAGCCTCCTCTGGGGCCCCCGCCC